ACCAGTGCTGCTCCAAATGAAGACGACAAGTCAGATTATGAAGACTGGGAAAATTCTGAGTGGCAGAGTATGGTAAGTTAATGATAGGTAGAACATATCTCATAAAATTGTTTTGGTTGTTTTTCTTTATTTTATTGCTTGAGGTGAAAGTTTTAGATGTGAATTTCCTTGGTGTTTGCTCAAGCAGTAGTTAGAATGTAATATCACATATTTCTTTTATTTGCAGTTTTTCTGAACCAGAAATGGGAAGATATATTTTTCAGCTTCGAGTATACGCAGATAATTTAGTTGTATTTTTATGATGTTCAAGGATATTAACATTTCTAAACAGGATGATGGCCTAGACACGAAACCAATTCAGTCCCGTACTGCATTGCCAAAATCCACCACTGTGTCAGAAGCTTTAGCTGATGTGGGTGATATGGATGGGGGTGATGGCTGGGGGGATGACACTGAAGAGTGGGGTAGCCTAGAGGATACCCAGGTATGTTTTGCTGTTTGAATGAAGTTGTGAAGGCATATGTTGTGGCAAAAGGCACATTCCATGCTATAAGGAAGGATTTTTTCTCCTTTTTTATTTCAATTTTGTATTGAAATTAAAAGTGAAAGGGATCTTTTGCCCTTCTAAGATTGCATGGTTTGACTGTGTGTCATGAATTCACCTGACTTTTTGCTGTAGCAAGTTGTGGAGAAGCACTGTGTGATTTCTCTTTATTTGGGGGTTCATGTCACAGCACGGGGACAGCCTTGGTGGAGGTGAACTTGAGCCAGAGTCCAAGTTCAGATCTACGGCTTCCTACAACTGGGAATCCTCAGGACCAGCCGAGGACACTGATGACTTCTTCTCCTCGCTGGTTTCTGGTAATGAGGTGAGTGGGCTCAAGGAGGAGGCAGGCTGTGGTTGGTTGTGGTATTTCTACACTTGAATTTGAATCACAAATATTTTTATACACATGCAGGGCACATGAACCCATTATGATGCTCTAACTTTATTGCTTTATTGCAATATTATTATTATATTTTTGCCATTGTTGTTGTTGTCGTCTTCCTCCTTAGCAGAGGTATGCGCTCTCTGAGTGATTATGGTTACCCATTGTTATTATCATCATTATTACTATATTATTTATTAATTATTAATTAATTATTACTATTATTGTTATTATTGTTATTGATAATGACAAAAGTAATGAAAATGATATTATGAATGATATTATTGTTATCATCATTATTATTATTATTATTATTATTGTTATTGTTACTATTATTATTGTTAATATTATTATTATTATTATTATTATTATTATTATTATTATTATTATTATTATTGTTATTATTATTATTATTATTATTATTATTATTATCATCATTATTGATATCATTATCACTGTCATTATCAACATAATTATTATTAGCATTATTGTTTGTTGTTTATTTTAATATTGTTATTATTATTATTATTATTATTATTATTATTATTATTATTATTATTATTATTATTATTATTATTATTATTATTATTATTATTATTACTATATTGCTGCTATTATTTGGTTGTTGTTGTTGTTGTTGTTGTTGTTGTTTCTTCTTCTTCTTCTTCTTCTTCTTCTTCTTCTTCTTCTTCTTCTTCTTCTTCTTCTTCTTCTTCTTCTTCTTCTTCTTCTTCTTCTTCTTCTTCTTCTCTTCCTCTTCTCTTCTATTCTCTTCGTACTTCTTCTTCTTCTTTCTTCTTCTTCTTTTCTTCTTCTTCTTCTTCTTCTTCTTCTTCTTCTTCTTCTTCTTTTCTTTCTTCTTCTTCTTCTTCTTTCTTCTTCTTCTACTTCTACTTCTTTTACTTCTACTTCTTTTACTTCTTCTTCTACTTCTTCTACTTCTTCTACTTTCTTCTTTCTTTCTACTTCTTCTTCTACTTCTTCTCTCTTCTCTTCTTCTCTTCTTCTTCTTCTCCTTCTCTACTTCTTCTCCTTCTTCTCTTCTTCTCTCTCTTCTCTTCTTCTTTCTTCCTTCTCCTTCTTCTCCTTCTTCTCCTTCTTCTCCTTCTTCTCCTTCTTCTCCTTCTTCTCCTTCTTCTCTACTTCTTTCTTTACTTCTACTTCTTCTACTTCTTCTACTTTCTTCTACTTCTTCTTCTTCTTCTTCTTCTTCTTCTTCGTCTTCTTCTTCTTCTTCTTCTTCTTCTTATTATTATTATTATTATTATTATTTTATTATTATTATTATTATTACTATTATTATTACTATTATTATTATTATTATTATTACTGCTATTATTACTTGTTGTTCTTCTTTTTTCTTCTTCTTCTTCTTATTATTATTATTACTTATTATTATTTTTATAATAATGATAATGATAATAATAATAATAATATTTATAATTATTATTATTATTATCACTGCTATTTGTATTACTATTATTATTATTATCATAGGTAATATTATCATTGTGGGTAATTATACAATAGATACAATTTTTATTTTTCATTTTTTTTTTTTTTTTTTTCTCTTTTCACAGGGAAAGTCTGGAAGTGTGTCCCAGAGAATGACAAATATGTCATTGCAGAGTCCAACCAGTGGTGGTTGGGATGACTGGGATGCGAAATCACCAGCAGGTATGTTATTTGATGTTTCAAAGCTCCAGGTTAGAAGGTGGTGATTGTTACTGACTATCAGGATATGCATACAAATTCTTCATAGAATGATGTTATAAAAAGATAGCAACAAAGTAGTTCATTGTGTAGAAAAGGTGTGAATGAAAATGCGTGACTATACAAGAGATTTTGTTGTTCATTTTGTTCTTTAATTCTTCGTGAAGGAGGTTAAGCATGGACTATGTTTTATATCAGTGTTAGAGAGGATCTGCACTTTATTTTGTTTAAGGAGGAGCTGCAATGTATTTAGCATAGAATGATTATAATTGATAATGTTATTATCATTATTAATTTTTTTCTGTTATTGTAGAGTCTAGTAACACTGGAGGAAATAGTAAGTCCGATGAACAACGGCGGCTGCGGGAAGAGAAACGGCTACAGAGGCAGAAGGAAATTGAGGCAAAGAGAGCAGCTCGTATGGGACCCATGAAACTAGGTGCTAAAAAGATGTAGAGTTTCAAGTTACAAACTTCTTATGTTATGGACCAAAGTTTTTGTTTGAAACATTTTTATTCTCTTTCTTTATGTTTTTTTGTATTGTTGTGTTTGGGCTTTTCAATAGGAAATATGGAAATACTTATGGAGATGATCATAGAGCCTGCTGCACAAGGTGCTTAGAGTTAAGTTGAACAATATTTGCTGAATAGTGCTGGCACTTTCAATAAAGGCTGACATGATACACTTGTTTCACTTGTGATAATATATATTTTTTGTTTTCTTATCACATATGTCTGCAGAAGAGGAATTTTACCTTTTCTTATCACAACATACTAGAAGAATATACAAAAGTTTTTGTCTTATGAGCTATGGGAAGAAAGTATTGTTATTGTTGTTGTTGGTAATTTAAATAATATTAAATGCTAAGATTTTTTTTCTTCAAACATAGATGCCTTATAAATGTCAGCATTTTTATAGTAAGGAATACATTACATAGAAAACACACCAAGTTGAAGTAAAGGCTGTTTTGTTATAGCATATTCATTTTATATCAGAAATTAAAAAGTAGTAGAGATAGCTGCTCTTATGTATTTGCCAGGACAACCATCATATCAGTTGCACAGCATGTAGTCTTTTATGTCATGGTTACACTGAAACAATTATTGATATGTGTGTGTGTGTGTGTGTGTGTGTGTGTGTGTGTGTGTGTGTGTGTGTGTGTGTGTGTGTGTGTGTGTGTGTGTGTGTGTGTGTGTGTGTGTGTGTGTGTGCGTGCGTGTGCGTGCGTGCGCGTGCGTGTGCGTGAGTGTGCGTGCGCGTGCGTGCGTGCGTGCATGAATGTTTGTGTGTGAGAATTTGTAGGGATTGCCTACTGGTGTGTACGTGAACATATGTATGTTTATTTATATATATACAGGCTTGCTGAGAGACTGATGTACATACATATTCATACATTCATCCATACATACATACAGTACTTACATATACTAGTGGTGTGTACAGAGAGATACTTAATCTCAAATGTTTCTGTATGTGGTACATTTTTATTTATTTATTTATTTTTTTTAATGTTTTTCTGTCATTATTGGGGGATCCATGGATTATTCCATCTTTTTTGTGGGGGTTATGATTTATTTTTAGGCTTCAGGGGAACTCATCACCAGTATCTTTTCTATTGCAATAACTAATTAACTATTCATAATCATTGTGTCAAAATGGGCATTATGAAGTTTGTTGCCAATTTTTTTTCTCTTCTTGCAGAATATTTAAGGAATTTTGAAAATTTATGATTTCCCTATTGTATAGCATAGTTTTGGAAACTTTATCAGAAAATTGTAAGAATAACAGAGCAATATGATAGATTATATACAATGTACATACAGACCAGACATTTATATCAGCTTGTGTCATTTGGCGGAAGTTATATTTTTGCATTTAGCCCACCTAGGCAGTTGTTTATTTTCCCTTGGTCGACTTTTCTCTCCTTTACATAGAGTGATGCTTCAGTGACAGAATGGTACTTAAAGGGTTGATGTCACGTTTCTGGAGAAATCAGTGGAAGAGCTTAATTTATGTAATTGCAATATATTATGTAGATATATATTGTGTGGCAGTGATATGTGCAATCTGTATTCCAAGTTTGTTGAAACTTATTAGTGACAAAACTATTTATTTATTTTTTTTTCACTTATTTTTTCATTATGATGGTAGGAGTAGGTATATGTAAAAGAAACACTGTATTATTGTTAGTGTTGTTGTTGTTATTATCATTATTATTATTATTATTATTATTATTATTATTATTATTATTATTATTATTATTATTATTATTATTATTATTATTATTATTATTATCATTATTATCATTATCATTATCATTATCATTATTATTATCATTATTAAATGTTATTATTATTA